GCGGCATTGGTGGTATAGTGGTGAGCATAGCTGCCTTCCAGATATAATCCATGGAAATATCCCAGATGCCGGGACTTCTGTTTCTGGCAGTTAGGTGGGCTAGGTTACCGGAAAAGACCCTCCCACTGGAAAAAAACTAAAATGTATAAGATAGTTTAGTAAATATTTTTAATCACGTCAATAACTAGTAAATCAGTAAGGAATACTCAGCAACCAATGTTAAGTGAAGGGAGGAACCCAAAGAAGTAAGTAGCACATTGAAGGGTGGCTTTCACCTTAAGGACATTTGGTGAACCAGATAAACTTGAGCATCAGATCTCAAAGCCTCCAAGTGCATAAGGAATACAAGAAAGTCAGAGGCCCACCTGACACATCTAATAGGAGACCATCCCCATGTAAGTCCGAAACCTAAAAAGGATAAACTTCTTAGTGTAAGGATAAACAAGAAATACTCCATCTTCTTACGAAACTACAAGGAAAACTGCCTTGTTTAGTTTTCCAAAATTTAGTGCTGAGTAGGGTTAGGGAATTTTCCTCTGAAACTTTATAACAATAAACCAGCCCTCACGTGAGTTTGAAACCCAATTTTATTTTATCTGAGTGTTCAAAAACCCTCAAGCAATAAATTTAAAGTGATTCCCAGCTTGTACTTTCCTCCAGCTCCTTGCAGACTCAAATATAAGTCATCTTTGAAAGGCCCATCTTCAATCCAGGCCTCAAAGAATTCCTAGAAATAAAGTTCCAAGATAGTTAAGCTCACAAGCAAAAATAACAAAGTACACAAGTAAACCAAGCACCAAGAGTAAGAAGAGCAGAGACAGAGTTAGACACTATATTTAGATCCACCAAGACCTCAGATATTGGAGTTAATAGCACACAACAGAAAGGAAGTACAATTAATATGTTTAAGAAATTTTAAAAGATTTGAAAAATGGAAAAAAGCAAATGATTACTAGAAATGACCAAGCATGTTTATCAAATAATTAAACTTCTAGAAATGAAAAATACAACAATCAAAATGTAAAATTGAATGGATATGTAAGTTTAACAGCATATTAGATACAGTTGAAGAGAAAATTTGATGAGCTGGAAGACAGATTTTTGGAGGTTATGCATAACTGAGAAGCTAAGATAGAAAATATGAGAGGTTACATGACATGGAATAGATCTAACATGTCTAGTTGAAGTTCCTCAGAGATTGGAGAAAAGGCAATATAAGAACAGTTAGCTAAGATAGAAAATATGAGAGGTTACATGACATGGAATGGATCTAACATGTCTAGTTGAAGTTCCTCAGAGATTGGAGAAAAGGCAATATAAGAACAGTTAATGATCAAGAACTTCCCAGAACTGATAAATGGAAATTAATCTAAATTAATTTCCCCCCCAAAAAATCTAAATGTTGTTCAGGGACCCCAGTGAATTCCAACCGGGGAAAATAAAAATAAATCCATAATTGGATGCACCATAGCAAAAAATACAGAACACCAAAGGCAGAAGATCTTTAAAACAGAAAAAAGTACTGTCAAAGGAACACAATGAGACATCTCAATACCTGACATCTCAGTAGTAACGATGGAAGCCAGAGGGCAGTAAAATGTACTGAAATAAATAAATGGTCAACCTAGACTATCCGGCAAAAATATGTCATGAACTAGGACAAAGTAGAGATGTACTTTTCACTCAAATGAAAGCGAAGAGACTTTTCCACCAATAGACCCTCTCTAAATGAAGTTTTCTTGGATATACTTCAAACTAAATGGTAGATAATCCCAGATAAAAAAAGAAAGAATAATAAGCAAAGGAAGTGGTAAATATGTGGACAAATCTAAATAAATGGAAGAGACTTTTCCACCAATAGACCCTCTCTAAATGAAGTTTTCTTGGATATACTTCAAACTAAATGGTAAATAATCCCAGATTAAAAAAAGAAAGAATAATAAGCAAAGGAAGTGGTAAATATGTGGACAAATCTAAATAAATGTTATATAAAATAATTATTATTGGAATAAAAAATAAAAACCAAGCTAAAATCAAAATATATGATGACATGAATACACCACACATGGGTTAGGAGAGGTTCTTCTGAATTAAAATATTCTAAGGTCCTTGAATTTTTCCGGCAAAAAGTAAAGATAATATTTAACTCTGATTTTTATAAGTTAAGGATGGCTGTTAAAATTTGTATGGTAGTATATAAAAAAATGGAAATATGCATTACTTCCAAAGTAGTAGAGGGGGGAAATGGAATTGAAAAGACAAACTTAAAGAAAGGCAAGAAAGGAGAGAAATAGTACTAGGACAAATAGCACAAATTCTAAATGCTGCTATTAAAAGACTATTAAATTATTAGGCCGTATTTTTTTAATCTGCCTATATATTGATTACAAGAGATATAACTAAAATATAAACAGATAAAAAAAGTAAAAAAACAGCAGAAGATATACCCTGCAGATAACAAAAAAGGCTGGTGCTTCTTTTCTAGCATCATATAAAACAGACTTTAAGGTAAAATTAGAAATGAAGAGGTGACCACAAAAGGTTTGTGCACCAGAAGATAGGATCATTTACACATTTACATGGAGAAATTGGCATTGTCATAGTGTAAGATTTTCAAATGCTTCTCTCAGTAACTGACAGACCAACCAGACCAAAAAAATGAGACTTAATGTGAATGTTCCTCATTTTAAAAATGTATCGAGGATAATATGCATAACTTTATACCAATACATGTTTGAAAACTTAAACAAAATATATAAATTCCTAAAAAGTAATAACTTAATAAAACTGATTCAAGAGGAAAAAGAAAAGTTGGATAATCCTATTTGAGAAATATAATCAGTATTTCAGAATCATACCAGGAAGAAATATGAAATCCAGATCATTTTTACTGGAAAGTTCTATCAGACATTTAAGTTACAAATAATTTTAATCTTATATAGTCCAGAGATCCATGGAACAGAAAAATAGGAATATTCTTCTAGTCATTTTATGAGGCTAACAAAAGCTTGTTAGCAAAACTAAGGAGATTACAAGAAGGAAAAATTAAAGGTCAATCTTATGCACATAGACGAAAAAATCCTAAGCAAGCTATTATCAAATAATGAAGCCAAGGAATTATTGTTAATTTTGTTATGCATAATAATGGTTTGGGGTTTTAAAAATAAGTCCATAATTTTTAGAGCTGCATACGGAAGTTTGTTGGGGGTAAGATGACATAAGGTCTGAAATTTGCTTTAAAATACATTTAGGGAGGAGGTGAGTTGGTTCTTAGAATCTGGATGTAAATTTATAAGATTTTGTTATTGCCTCTCTTGTGTATGTTCGAAAAGTTTTATAATATAAGAGGGCTAGAAACATTGACTTGGTTGTATATCCTTTTCTTTTAAAAAGAAAAAAATACATTATTAGGTATCAGAAGTTAATACTATACGTGAACAGAAATGTGACAAGGTAGGGAATTCATTTTTTAGGAATTTGATTTGGCCTTATCTATAAGGATCCCAAGCAAGGTGGATTGATATGAGGTCTCCAAAGGCTGAGCAGGCATGAAATCCAGCTGGGCAAGAACATTCCAGGAGGATGGATGAAATTCCTGACTATTCTAGATGGAAAGGAAGTTTACATACTCAGGATCTCAGAGCAAGAAATGGACCAGAAGTCAGAATTAAGTTTAACCTTTACCTCCATCACCAGGATAGAGTGAAATAATGCATATGGAAAAGGTCAGAATATTGTAAAGCTACACAAATGTAAGATACTTGAAATATTATTTACAGAAGGAATTATAAGTGCAGAAGGGATAGAGGGTGCAGGCACTTTGGAAAACAGTTGGACCATTCCTCAAAATGTTAAACATAGATTCATCATATGACCCAGCAATTCCACTCCTAGGTGTACACTCAAGAGAATTGAAAACGTATGTCTACGCAAGAACTTGTACACAAATGCTCATAGCATTATTATTCATAATAGTGCAAAAGTGGAAACAACTCAAATGTCCGCGACTGATGAATATGGATAAACAAAATATGATATCCACACATTGGAATATTATTCAGCAATTTAAAAAAATGAAGTACTGATTCAAAATACAACATGGATGAACCTTGAAAACATTTTGCTAAGTGAAAGTAGCTAATCACAAAAGGCCACATATTTTGTGATTCCTTTTGTATGAAATATCCTGACTAAGCAAGTCCATAGAGACAGAAAGCAGATTAGTAGTTGCCAGTGTTCAAGGTGATGGGAAAACAGAGTGAGTACTGATGGGGATGGGTCTATCATGGGGGTAATAAAAATGTCCTAAAATTAGATAGTGGTGATGGTTGTACAACTCTGTACTAAAACCCACTGAATTGTGTACTTTAGAGGGGTAAATTTTATGGTTTGTGAATTATATACCAATAAAGCTATCTTTAAAAAAAAAAGGAATATAGGGCATCAAGAGGGTCTGTACGAAAATGGTTTTATCTCACCTCACTTACCCCTCTCTCACCACACCACCTAGGCCTGAAGTTTTCTGTCAAACTCAGGAAGATACATGATTTTTTTTTTTTCCAAAATTGCATTGAGAAAATATCAAGTCTGAAGCAAAAACAATAAGAAGACCAAGAATTGCCGAGAACTTTTTGGCCTGGATGAGAAAGAGTCCTGGCAGACTGAGGCTCTCCTGAAGTAGGGCTAATGGAGGATCACCCAGAAGCATAGGCCTCCCATTCACAAATTTTCCCCTGCATACCAGCAATGAGCATGTCCACTGGTTGGTAAAATAGTGCTATGATTTCTTCAATCACCAAATCTAATTGTCAAAAATGCCACAAGTACAATTCCCTATGTCTTTCACACCATAAATACAAGCAAGGCTCGTGGACTTGCAACAGTTAAGAGACTCCTCAGCTCTGTCTGCTGTGACGGTGACAGATTAATTTCTGGTCCAGTAGGCCTTCACTCATCTGTGCTTTCTCTCCCCTGTTCTCTGTTTTCCTTTTGTTTTCCAGTGGCTGCTTCAACCCCCAACTCCACTGCTGGTGCAGCCATGAATTCCTTGACCTCTCTGGGGACTCTGCAAGGATTGGCTGGAGCCACTGTTGGACTGAATAATATTAATGCACTAGCAGGTACCATAAACAGTGAGTATTTGCTGCTCTGGTGGACAGCCTTCCCCCAAATTCTCCACAGAAAACGGTCAGCGAGAAATGACCCAAAAAGGATATGTAATGGGGAGAACTAACACTTGGGATGGAGGAGCACATGCTTTGATAGGCAGAAGCTCTCTGCATTCATTTTGTCTCAAAAAATCCCCGACCACTCACCACCCCCAGATTCTCTCTGACATGTAGTTTGTGTACTCATCCACAGAGTTCTGTGGTTGGCAGACATTTGCAGGTTTCAAGGAGTGTGGTTTGGTTTTGGTGTTGTTCTGCTGTCCTGCGAGGCCGTGTGTTAGAATAGAAAAGTTGATGACGGACTGGAAGTCAGCGAGCGTGAGTCCAGCTCTGCTGCCACACAGTTGTCGGAGCTCAGGCGGAACTCTGCTCCCTCTCTGGGCTTCAGTCTCCACTTGAAAATGGAAAGTTCTAGATGAGATGATTTTAAAGGTGTCTTCCATCTCTACAATCCAAAGATTTGTGACAGTTACAGAAGGGGGGAAATGAGCCTTGGAAAGAAGGAAATGAATCTGAGGGGAGAGGAGCCGCTGCTGGAAGTAATACCATCTAGGATCTTTGTTAAGCTCCCACAGGCATGGGTCACTCTATAGCAGGGACTGTCCAGGGGGCCATCATTTTACCATGGCAGGTTGAAACAGGTTTTGAGGCAGATAGCTTGCACTTGGTTCTGAAACATATGGGACTCACCAGAGAACTCTAGGTTCTATCCTATGCAGTCTACCCATTCCTGTTAGTTGAGATGTTTTGAGGCAGATAGCTTGCACTTGGTTCTGAAACATACGGGACTCACCAGAGAACTCTAGGTTCTATCCTATGCAGTCTACCCATTCCTGTTAGTTGAGATCTATGTGAGAAATAGTCCCCAGGCCAGAGGATATCATATTTCAGGCTCATGCTTGGTGTAGGCTCTTGCACTGGGGAAACTGATCCTCAGCCCACAGAGAGGACACCTAATTTCCTTGTCCTTCCATTCGGTCCTCCTGGTGGCCTGACAGTAGCCACGCCCAGCAGGCCCATGACAGCCAACACAGTTTATGATTTGGGGGCCCAGTTACCTACCATACATCCCAGCCAATCTAACACCTGTCCGTTTTAATTTTTAATAAAGGGATTGCTAATTAAACCATGATTGAATAATTGGACTGTTTTAAAGGGTTATCAGGAAGTAAACTTTTTTTTAAAGCAAAAAATACCAATAATTTTATACTTCAGAAGCTCAAAAGAAGACCTTGCAATGGATTTGGTTAAATTTAAAAAAAAAAACAAAAAAAAAACAAAAAACCTAAAACTCATCCAAATAAAGATTAACTTTTACTATAATCTTGATAAGAAAATAAATCATAAGTTTAGAAGTAGTGAATTTTCAGGTTTTTTTAAATCCTTTTATTCAGATGCCCTGGGAGAAACAAAAACTTGGACTGAGTTTTTTCTGACCACAGGGAAAAGAAAAGCATGTTCCTTCCAAATATGATGGCTCTTGATTAGCAGATAACGTGTGAAGTGGTAACCATGTGACAGCCAGAATGTTTTATTCCAGTTAAAACTGCCTCCAGCTTTTACCTTTTCCAGCAGCCACGTAGGACCCTCGTTGCCTTGCCTCGTGTTCCTGGTACAGCTCCTCTCTCTGACCTTGTCCTTCACCTAGGTTGAGGATGTGTGTTCACACACATCCCCTCATGCTGCTTCTCTTGCCCCAGGACCTAGTTCCCCTAAAACAAGGACTTTGATTTGATCGCCTGCCTGTCCTTGGTCTGCAGAGTACCAGGCCAGTGGGAATGGTTGTCCTCCTCAGCACGTGCTCATGATGCTGCGTGTGTGTCCTCTCGTCTGCTCCTGCGCATCCCCACCCTGCTCTGTTGTGCGTGGCTGGGAGTTTCCCATCATTATCGCGAGGGACTGGCAGGGACTTTGCTGAATGGCAGAGAAACCATGACTAGTTCTTATGTGGGTTCTTGTGTTACACAAATTTTGCTTCTGGCAAGGACAGCAGGTTTAAATTGCTTACTTTTTTTTAATTCTTTGTCATTGGATTAATGTAAGAATATATAGTTCATGGGAAGTTCAGAAAGAATATTTCTGGTTTCAATTAACCCCTACTGGACAGTATGACCCAGGAAAATGTTTAATTAAACCAAAA